CTAAGTAACTCCCTAATCATCTAATAAGCCACATTCCTTATTCTCCAAGCCCCACATATATGAAAATAGATAAAAATGGGTAATAAATATAAATTAAACAGGATATAAATAGAAAAAAATAAAAAAATGAGTCGTGGTTCTGGTCTAGGGACCTGTTTAGAACCCAACATATACCCTCTTGTTCTTGAGCCCCTGCGAAAGTATCGTACAGATTAATTAACTTTGCCTCTTCCTGAGATTTCTGTGTTTGGGCTTCTAGGATTAATTGATCAAAATCTTTATTGTATATCCTCATCAAAACATAAGAAGTAATGGTCTGCGCCCCGAAAAGATTGGAAAGACCTCTGTAAGTATATAATTTATATACTCGCTGAGCCGCTTTTTGTATGTCACAGAATTTTTTAGGAAAAACTTCTTGGATCTTAGTTTTCCAATTTCTTCCTTCAACCTTTCTCCTAATAGATAATAATACTGTAAAGAAATGTTCAGATTCAAGTAATCTTTCCCAAACCTTCACAAAGAAAGTTTATTTGGTCGGTACACGTGACTCTTATAACTTCCTCTATTTTAGAAATTATTTCCTGTTCTTTTGTAGCTCTTTTTAAAAATATTGGCATTTTTAAATGTAGTCTTTTGGTATCTGTAAGCCTTCGGGGTTTTTCAATATTTATTTTGTGATCTATGGAGTTGTTATATGTAACTTGTTGTGAAGAAATAATAAGATTTCCAAACATTCTTTCCTTTAGTAATTGTCGTTGGAGAAGGGCTATTATTTTCTTAATATTTTCAGAAGAGACGAATTGTTCATTTAAAAATTTTTTTTTTTTTTTTTTTTTAAATAAATAAAGATAAAATAAAATCGAACGAATGTATATATATATATAATTTTTTTTTTTTTTTTTTTTACTTGATATATTTTTTTAACTGATTCCTGTGTACTGGTTTTCGGTATACATTATCATCCATAGTTCTTAATTTATACGCGCCATTTCCATAAACCTCATGGATATAATAAGGTTCAGTCTATTTTTCTTCAAGCTTAGAACTATGAGAAGCAGCTTCTTTCGATTTATATAGAAGTACGAAATCACCAATTTTGTAACTTTCTATACTATACTTATGATTATGGTAGGTTTGTTGTTTTTCTTGCGCTTCTTTACTTTTCTTCTTTGCTTGTTGACGGGCTTCAGTTAAATTTCCTAATAATATTTCAACCCGCCTTAAAATATTATTTTGTAGGTCCTCTTCGGTAACAGATTCAGTGGGTATATAGATAGAGTAGTTTCTATAGACAATACGGCATCTCTTCCATACACTAAATAGAAGGGTTCATATCGGGTCATACTATATCGGGTGGTCCGATATGCAAAAAGGGCGGCTGGAATATAATCATCCCACTTGTTCCTGAAGTGGCTCAAGCATTTTGCAAGTACTTCACAAAGGGTGCGGTTAAATCTTTCTACCAACCCGTTTGTCTAAGAATAGTAAGCAGTAGACAATTAGTGCTTAACTCCTATTTGGTTACAAAGGGCATCCACTACTTTATTGCAAAAATAGGAGCCTTGGTCAGAAAGTAATTCTCTTGGGCTCTCATGCTGGCATATAATTTCATCAAAGATGAAATCAGCTACTGATAGGGCATCAGCTTTTTGAAGACCACGAGCTTCCGGCCATCTTGTTAGGTATTCGGTAGCAACAACAATGTACTGATTTCCTTTTTTAGATAGTAGTAAAGGTCTTACTATATCTATTCAAACATGGTCAAAAGGTTGATCTATATGAATGAGATGTAATGGTTCTCAGCTCTGGGGTTATTCACACTTCTGGCAAAAGCTACAAGACTTCACATAGGCTTTTACATCTTCTCCCATTTGTGGCCAGAAGTATCAGACCAAAATTCTTTGATAGATGGAAGTAGCGTTGAAATGTCCAGGCATGGGATTAAAGTGCATAATAAATAAAATCGACTCTGTTTCTTCGGTTTTAAGAATTCGCTGAGGTCTCGTTAGATTTCGAATATTCTTCTTATAAAATAACCTGTTACAGACCAAATAATTTCAGGTTCAGTGTTTCAAATCTTGGATCATCTTTTTTCATAATTTGATGGTACCAAACTATCACTTAAATATTGTAAGTATAAATAATACTTTTTTTTTTCTATTTTTACTAAAAAATTTTTTTTTTTTTTAGATCGTTAAAATTCTTAACGATTAATTTTTTGTTTTTTTTTTTTTTTTTTTTTTATATCCTAGAAATACTATTAGTGTTCCGATGTACTTTTCTGGCCTTGTGGATAGTCGTAAAAGAATATTCTTGGAGCGTCAAGATCCATCACGCCAATATATTCCAAGATGACTTATGCGAGAAAAGAGATTTCAAGGCAATGTGATCAGTATATAATTCAAAGTGAGCACCGTGAAGGTATTGACGATAATAAGAGACAGCCCATACAACTGCCAAACACTCCTTCTCAGTTGCAGAGTAATTTTTCTCAGCTAGTGATAGACTTCGACTGGTGTACGATATGATTTGCTCTCTTCCTTCTGGATCTAGTTGGAAAAGAATAGCCCCTAAGGCTAAGTCTGTTACATCAGTGAAGAGTAGGAAAGTTTTGGATTCGTCCGGATAGGCTAATATCGGGGCCGTGGTGAGTCTTCTTTTTAATTCTTCAAATGCTCTTTGTTGGTAGTTTGTATACTTATAATAATTATTTTTCTTTAATAACTGATTTAAAGGTATGGCTATTTTGGTGAATCCTGGAACGAATTTACAATAGTATGAGGCTAGTTCTAAAAATCCACGAAGTTGCCTCACATTCTGTAGTATAGAGAATTCTTCAATGGCTTTTATTTTCTTTAGATCAGTTGAAATTTCTGCTGTGTTTACTATATACCCCAAGAATTTTAGTTCTTGTTTCCCAAAGAAACACTTTTGCAGTTTTAATTTTAGACCAGCCTCCCGTAATCGTCTAAATACTTCTTGCAGGTGAATGAGGTGGTCCTCAAAATTCTTAGAATAGATATTAATGTCGTCTAGATATATTACGACAAATTTCCCAATAATGTCTTGAAAAATTCTATCTATCAGACACTGAAAAGTTGTAGGGGCATTGGCTAACCCAAAGGGCATTACGTTGAATTCATATAGCTCTTCATTTGTTATGAAAGTGGTTTTCTTCTTATTCTTCTTAGCCATTTTGACCTGCCAATAACTGCTTGCAAGGTCTAACGAAGTATACCAGAAGGACCCTTTTAAGGCATCTAGAAGGTCATCGATCCTAGGTAAGGGATAATTGTCCTTTTTTGTTACTGTATTGATTTTTCTATAGTCAATGCAGATTCTAATTTTTCTTTTTCCTTGTTTTACTAGGATGACTGGTGAAGACTATGGGCTGAAGAATTTCTGAATTATTCCTTCTTTCTTCATTAGTTTTATTTCTTTACTTAAGAATTTCTTCTCTAATAAAGAATGCCTATATGGCCTTTGTTTAACAGATAAGGCATCCCCAGTAATAATATGGTGGTGACACTTATTAGTCCTACCGAGTTCTGATATAGTTCTCGCAAAGAGATCTGTATTCTCTATAAGGAACAGTCGAATTTGGTCTTTTTGATCTTCTTAAAGACCATCTACATTATATGTCACCACAGGATTGGCTTCTTCATCAAAGTAGAAATCAAAGAGGTCAATGATTTCATCATAAGTACCTACTAGCAAGACTTCTGAGATTGACTTTAGAAAATCATCAAGGTGGTCTTCCTTATTAAAGTTCATTTGCCATCGGTAACCCTCAGATTATGTATTTATGGGGGTAAGTAACTCTTCTCCTAAATTTCTTTCATCTCTCTCTTTTTCATTCTTGTTACTGGATTCTTCTTCTCGATTCCAATCGTAGTCTCTCTCTTTCTCGTAATCATCATCGCTATTTAAGTTTCACCAAGCTTCTCCTACTCCTAGATTATTCAGATTAAGGTTCTCATAACCTTCATCTTCATCGAAAAATTCGTCAGTATTTTCTAATTCAGAAAGTTCGTAAATCTATTTCTCTAATTCTTCTTCTTCAAATTCTTCTTCCTCTTCTTCCTCTTCTTCTTCATCATCTTCTTTAATTTCTTCATACTTATCTTCTTTCTTTTTACTTGTTTTTGTAGGCATCTCGGTTTCAAGTGGTTTCGAGGTTATTTTTCGGAATTCTACTGGTATTGTAACTTCTTTACCCTCCCAGGTAAGAGTCATCTCAGAGGCGTTCCAGTCGATTAAGGCATTCACTTAGGAAAGCCAATCATTTCCCACAAGCGCATTATAAGAGCTTGAATCAGTTACTACGACATCGATTGGGATCTTTATGCCTTCTACAACAAAGAGAAAGTTGGATATTTCACCAATTGCCCTTTTACTTTTCTCGTGAATATTAATCATATTCACTGTAGAGGGGGATCAATTTTTACTCCTAATTTTTTTAATAGGAATGACAATATGACACTCCTGGAGGATCCAGAATCGACAATTAATGGAATAACTTTTTCTTGGACTTGGGCATCACAATAAAGGGCAGTTAACTTTTGGGTATTTTGTAAATTCACATTACTCTTTAATTTTCTTTTTATAATTTTCTTCTTTTGTAGGGATCGAATTAAATCGGTTCTCATAGAAGGGGCGGCCTTGAATAACTGCCCAAAAGTAATATTGGCTAGCTTATCTTGGATTTCAGCGATGATTGAATATGGGGCGACTAGAGATGATATTTGTAGAGTATCATCCTCTAGTTTCTTCTTTCTAATTGGGGCTAGTTTCTTTTTCTTTTCTTCTAGCAGGTTATGCATAACTAAGGTGGGTTCTTTGTTTTCATTGTCCCTAATATTTCTTCTTCTAATACTGCTTTTCCTTCCTCTACCTTTCATTTCTTAGCATAGGTCTCTATTGGATTATGCTTCCTTATCCCTACTTCTGCTGGGGCAAAAATAAAAGTATCTTCATCAGTAAATCCTAGATACACTGGACGTTCTTCAGAGACTTCAGGTTGGGTTGTTTGCTGGAGCAAGTTCATTAACGCCAATAATGCTTCTTGTGGGTTAGCGTCATTCGGGGATGTATGGTTGGGTTGGTAGCAATCGAGGTTTGACAAGGGGTGGTACAATTCCTACTTATGTGCCCTGGGTGCCCACAGTTATAACAAACAATGTAGTTCAGGTTTGGGTTCCTGGAGTTTGGTTGATAATTCTTTGCAGTCGTCATTGATCCTGTATCTGGATCTTCATTTTGTTTACGGCCTCAGTAAGTTTATTAAATGCTTCATCAGTTCCAGTTGAAGTAAGTATAGGAGGTTGGGCTGAATTATTTTGGTTTTGGACAACCTGGAAAGGGTACCCGGAGGTTTGTCCTAAGAAAGCTGCATATATAGGGTTTTGCTTGTAAGCGTTTTCAAACGCTTTTGCTCTCTCATATGTGGCTTGTAGTGTATTTGGAGTAAAAGGAGAAATGGCCATAAACAATTCAGAGCATAGCCCGTTTATGAACATTTGGGCTTTTGCAGAGTTAGGATATTGGTAACCTCCGGCTTCAACTCAACGAATCATCTCTTCTATGGCCACGTGATATGCATCAACACTTTCTCCAGGAAATTGTTTCCTTTGTGTAAGCTGGGCAAACCACTTCCCTTCTAACTCAGGGGTCCAAAACTTTGTGATAAAATTAGCCTTAAAACTTTGTGGAAGATTGGCATTATCATTCCAACGATCAATCAGCGAGACCTGGTTCCTCACCGTTACCCACCAAGTAAAAGCCGATCCTTTCAATTTTGGAATGATCACAGGAATTTTATGTGCATTGGCTATACGATTTGCTTCAAAGGCTTTTTCAACATCCTCAAGCCAAGAAATGGGGTCTTGTTCTCCTCTCATATATTCAGAGTACGATACTAAATTAAGTTCTCAGTGAACGATAGGTATGTTCACTTGCAGGGGTTGCCCAATTTGCATCTGTTGGACCAGTTGGCTATTTGATTTGCCAAATTGTGCATCAGGTTTAGATGCGGCGAGTTTTGGGGAGGTGGTGAGTTTGGTGGTGGTGGTGGTTGAGCTATTTTCTATTTACTTCTTAATTATTATTCTTTCTTAAAAAGAGATATATATATATTTTCCTCTTTAATGGGAAATAGTTCAGAATTCCACACAACTGGCACCAAATATTACTATTGTAAATAGGGAGAGCAGATAATATAGCACAGTTTAGCTCCAATAGTTAACATGGTACGGGCTTAATTTTAATATAAGGATACTAAATAGGGAATCAATACTATAATTATCAAGAATCGGGTACTATATATTAATTATAAGGATTATTTAAGGAAGGGG